GGTTCTGAGTGAAACACCATTTTTCTAAGGAACACATATTGATTTACTGCTGTTACCATGTTGATTTTCAGTGTAGTTTTATTCTTCAATAGCACTGCTTTGCAGAAGGCTTTGTTGGGTCTGTAATAGCCACATTTTACTCTGCACAATATAAACTACATTAATTTCTGTGGTACTCTGAACACTGCATTAAGTACGTCATGGTTCTACCCTCTGAAACAGAAGTTAATTTTTTTTAAAGGTTGTGGCGGGAGGAAAAACTGTCATTTAAGTTTTAAGGATTTTATAAATAAGGGAACAATGGCTTTTCTCTTCTTTGCCATAACCATATTTGGTCTCACTAGAAGCATACCAGGTTCTACAATGTGTCTGATTTCAATGGATTTACAAAGCAGCCAGCCTGCTGTAGTGCAGAGATAAGAATCTGTCCCATTAGTGTGAGGTACAAAGAGGGGGTAAGTCAGTCAGGAATTGGAGGGGAAGAGGAACATTGTTCTCAATACTCCATTTTTTTAAAAATGTGTAGGACCAAAATCTGCCTTGCAGATCCCTTGCAATACAATGCTGTCAGACTGTCAGTGTGGAATTTGGCCATGGAGTGGACTTTTAAGTTCAGAACTAAAACTATTCCCCCTTTGGTTTAAAAATTGTCCTATGGGGGGTAAAAATTAGAGATATGATTAAATCCAGCTTTTGGGGATTTGTCAAGTCATTGATAGTGGCTACCAGTTTTCAGGGGATGCACAATCCAGATACTCACAGCTGCCATGAAGAGGGAGTTACACTGTGAGGGGAGAAGGGATCATGACTCGAGGATCAGGGCTGGGTTTGACTGAAAGGGGTCATAAGTGGAATTTAGCAAGTGAGGGTATACTGGGGATGGGGTGAGTCTGGGGCTGTGATGGGCTTGTAGGAGGGAGCTGGTTTCAGACTAAAGGATGGAAAGGATGGCAGATGTCAGATGGGGCGGCAGATGGCAACAGGAGCTGAGGTGATACATGGCAGTGGATATTTTAAATATTTAATGTCCAGCCTCTACTATGTTTGTTTATAATGAGAGATAGCTGGGATTACAAGCATTTGTAAACCAATTTGAAAGTCTACAACTCATACCATATATAGGAGGATAGTCAATGAACCAAATAGGTGGATCTGCTTGGATACTAAGCTTATTTCCAACTGTGACATACCTAAGAGTCTATATCTCTAGTTCCTTATAAGGCCCCAATCACCAAAGTACATGGGCACCTGTTTTCCAGAGGTAAAAGACACTCACTTGAACCAAGAGCTGTCACTTACACATCAGATAATTTAAACTGCATGGTTAAAGAACCCTAAATGTTTCATTTATAAAATATATAAATCACTATGTAACCAACTTTTTATTTTTTTCAGAAAACAGAACATACGTCAAACCTACTATTATGTACTGAAGGAAGCTAGTGTTGAAAAATATATAATGATCACTATTTGAAGACTATATAGTACATGAAAGACATCCCTTCCAACCTTTGATGCCTTCAGTACTGTGTGAAGGATTTGTAGCATGAAACTTGAAGGACAATTTCAAGCAATTTACTGTTGCTGCATCGAAAACTGCCGTATTGTCATTAAGATATACTGAGACTTTTTACAAGCTTACCATACCAAACCAAGCCTGTTGCAACTGATCATTTTTAGGTCCCAGAAGATAGAAAGAAGTTGTAGTATTTTTAAGCACATAAAGGAATTATTCCCCAAAAGAACTAACTTTTTTTTTAAAGGAGGTAGTGATTACTGTATAGCAATGGCACAATGATTTTATTAAGCCGCAAATGTCCTCACTGGCTGTACATCATACAAGTCCAGTTTATCACTGAAACTGTTCAACATAGAGCTGTTTCAATTGTGTTTATAAATTAAGCTTTGTTTACTGAAGCTGATACTCAATATATTACGTTTTAAAGAAAAATGTGTGTACATTTTTTAAAACAATGATGTAAAAATTGTCCTTTCATTAGATGACCAATTCAAGAGTGTGAGCTAAACCCCAATAGCTGACATAATATGAGGATTATAATTGATGCTTTTTTATGCTCAGTTCAGCTTGGCTTTTGGTCTTTTAAGATAAAAAAATGAATATGCAGTAGAGTGTTAGATAATGGAAACTTTTAAGTATGGTTTCTCTGTTGTACCATATTAAGTTAAAGTACACATTCTTTGTTAAAATGTTCTTGCTAAGAATACAGTATTAAAAACTTTTTGTTTGACTTTGGAAATCTTTTTTTTTGTTTTTTTGGAGATGGATTCCCACAGTTTTTATGCTAATTCAAAACTGATATTTTGCACGGATACATTATTAATTAATTAATCAAAATAAGAGGGGGGTTGGTATCAGACATCTTTCTTAATTATTATATGTCACAGATTCCACACCTATTTGAAAACTTACCAGAGTCATTCCTTTGCTCAAACAGGTAATTGAAAGATGCATTGGTTAGGTGGAACCAATCAGTTTAGTTTCTACTCCCTCATTCACAGATGTTTTATGCAATTATTAGATAAATATCAACTGTATAAGATTTTTCAAAGGAACAAGATAAGCATTAGCTATGAATAATTTATTGGTTGCATTCTGCACTACCAACGTGGGAAGCCTCAATTTCTATGCTCAGTCTGGTCTTTGCTCCCCTGTTGAAAGAACTGTGGAGGCAAGATGCCGCTCAGCCTTTGCTATGCAGAGAGATTCCCCTGCTGCTAGTAATTCAACAGAAGCCCCTTCAGCTGATTATGTAATAGTTTTGATGGATTTTGAATGGAATTCCACTGAAGATTCTGGCCCCAATCCTCAGCTGATGAAAATCAGCATAGCTCCATGGACATCAGTGCAACTAAACTGATTTATGGCAGCTCAGGATTTGGGCCTCTGACCCTAATTCATCACTGGCACAGCAGGCATAAGTCTACTGAATTACACCAGTGGTGAATTTGCCCGCTGATCAAAATCTATGTCGCCATTTCTTTGCCCTGGTCCTTGTTCGGGAGTATTAAAATAGGGGATCTGTGATTCTTTATCATGAACATGAAGAATTGCAACTACTCCACAGAACATGAAGTGAAAAACTAAAAATAAAGTACAAAATGCTGTGCATCCCAATTGCCAGAAAAGAATAAAATAAGGAACAAAGTGCATACAATATACATTTCTCACTTAGTTCGACTGATTAAATGTCAGATCCCACTTCCTTTATTCACATGAGTTCAGTCGCACTACTACTCTTACACACATGCATGCGCATGCACACACACAATTAAATGGGACTAGTATGAAAGCAGGGTATGATTAGAAATAGATCATTTCAGAAAAGCAAAGCAGCTTCCTCTTCCTTAAATACAGGCATGATAACATAGTTCTTGGGTGGGGGCCAAATGCAAGGTGGAGTGTCTTCTAGTAGAGTGAAGTCAGGTGTTACAAGTGAGGGCTGAATTTGGACCTCTGTATATGAATATGCATTTAACAAGTCAAAATTAGCAAGTCAGGAGCATATAAAATTGAAGTTAAAAGTCCCTTAAATTGTTTTAAACTGTAGATATTTCATATATTTTATGGAAGTAATATCTGTGCTCTGCATCCAAAGATGATTAAAGGGCTTTCAGTTGTGTTAACTGTACAAAAAGTGATGGTACCGCAGGTGCCCGGTATTTCAGCACATGTAAACTAGGAAATAACTGCAGTCTCTCTCATACTGACATATGTAATTCTTGGAAAATGTTGGCTTTTTCAATGGCAATCACTGTATTGGTTCTCATGTACCCTAATATGCCTGAATAATCGTATGACGTGATCCTTTTAATGTGCTGAAAAAAATTAAACTGGCAATGTTAAATGTCTCAACTGTATGTTTTAGAAATGTAAGAATGTAGAACTTAAATTTTGGTTAATTTTATCTTTGTAGGATAATTTTTTTAATATGAGGATAAACTTCTGCAAACTTTGTCTCTGAACTACGTAATAAATATAAGCAGAAAAAACAGGACATGCCATAATTTAAACGTTCCAAATATTCTTTTTTATATTATTGCTTTGCTTGCGCTAAAACAAAGTCAGAACACTTAAATTCCAGTATCTGCAACAAACATATTTCCATATGATTAAACAAAATGCATTTAACTACATCAAAAGCAAGGGCACACTGAGTTAAGACTACAACTGCACCCTTAATTAAAGCTCATTGTGCACATTGTGCCTATGGTTAGCTATTTACAATTAGATGGTAGTATTGTATTACAAGTGATCCTCAAAATTATGCCAGTACGAATCCATGTTAGTGACTGAGATAGTTTCCTTGTTCTGTGCAATGCTGGCAATTTGAAAAATCACAAAGGTCTAGGATCACGCTACAATGCCAGAGTCAGGTTGAATTCGCTAGTAAATGTAGGGTTTTTTGACAGCCTAAAGTTCTTTTCAGGCTAGATTCTACTCTCATTAACTTCTTTGGGATGAGGATCAGGGCCCTAGTTCTAAAAATGATTTTAAAAAGAGGAATACAGTTTTTAAAGTGTCTATAGTGAATTGCTATTAATTAAAACTGCTTTGGAAAATTAAAAAAAAATCTGGAAATGTTTAGCAACTATCAGTACAAGATTATTAAGACTGGAAGATAAAAAGGAAAACTACTTACCATTAATTGTATTTGTCATAGACTCCTCCTGCTGTCCTGCAACAGAAAGAGTTGGGACAGTTGGTAAATATAGCTACTTTTTAATCCAGTCAAGATGTTTTGCAATAAGCAGAAACAATTGTTCATACCTCTTCTAGTGGTCATCTAGTGAAGGGCTTCTGTACAGGAATAGGTCAAAGTTCTGCTTCTAATCAGGCAATCTGCAACCTTTGTGAAGAGATACTCAGCTATGAAACAGCTCCTTTCAATTTCCTGGCACTTAATTTTAGGCAGGAAGGTTAAACAGAGTCTAAGCTTGGTTCACCAAAGAATCCTGGGTGGCAAAGACACCAAGGAGCCAACAATACCATCCCTACTCTTTCTGATTTCCTTCTCTCACTATCCCTATCAGGAGAAGGGATAGTGAGAGAAGCAGCATCTTCTGTTCACAGGGCTTTGCCTTTAACAGGAGAATAAGGTGTAGAATGGGATATTCCATCTCTTCTGATCTCTCCCTCTGCTCTTGGATCCCGAAGATGAATCTGCTGTCTTGGTTCTTTCCATCTCCTCTGTCTGCCTTTTGACTGGTGTAAAAGAGAGGGAAATAAGAGAATTAGAAAGTAGAGTGGAGGAAGTTGATAGAGTGGAGAACTGCAGTGATGACGCCATACTTCCTGGTCAAGTTGATAAAAGAATTGAAGAGGGGCAAACTGGGGTTTAGTCAAAGGGATGGAGGGGGCTCATTCATAATTCTTTTGTCAAAGCTTATTAACAAGTGGAGCCATAAGTCTGCCTCTGATTTTCTCTGTCATAGGATGGGAAAATATTTCTTCCCCTCCCCATCCCCCAGTTTGCAAACTCATTGCACTGGGCAACACTTTGTGTAAAGGTACTTTTACTGTATTCCATGCATAGTCAGTTTCCCTCTGTTGTTTGTATGGGACTTTCACACAACAACAAGAAAAAATAAACACTAAATAAATGTGATTTGAAAACCACCAAAAGTGGCAGAAGTAAATGAAACTCTTTTCAGTGTAGTTTTTGCATTGAATGGATGCCCTTTTCTTTAGAGTTTGCATAAGGTTAAAATAAAAGTAAAAATAAATAAACTAATAATTGTAATTCCTTTTCAAAAATTATTTATTTTTCCCTTGACTGTACAATAAATGTTGGAAATTCTAGTAACTTCTCATTTCTAGGACCAAAGAGTTTACCAAAGATTCCCATTCTCACACACCAATCTTGAATGTCATGTACAGAGCCATCTTTATATATCTTCAGACAAGCCACCAATCTTACCTTTTTTTCCATTTCCAAATCAGTTATGTAGCTGTCCAAATGACGTTAACTGTGGGTACAAAGGGATGCAAGTACAAACTTGCACCCTCAGTTACTGCACCTTTAGTTCATGGGTACAAAAGCAGAGGCCAGCTTTTGGAAATCTCCCCAAATGATGTTTGCAGAACTGAAAGAATTTTCAATGAGGGGTGTTCAGAAGCTTGTGGGCCCCTTTTATACACAGCAAATATGCAAATGCATTCATTTTCTGCAAATGTTCATTTTGGTTGGTAACAAGGGTTTGGTTCGGGGCTGGCCTTACCATGAGGTGAAATGAGGTGGCTGCCTCAAGTCCCAGACTGTATGGGGGCGCCACTAGGACCCAGAGTGTAGAAAATTGTGTCCGCTGCTGGTGCATATGTATTCTCTCTGCTCTAGCTGTACAGAGATGGTGGAGTGCTGTGCTGGAGGAAGGGGGGTACAAGAGACATAACAGGCAGGCAGGAGAAAAGGTGAGAGGGAATAACAGAAAGCAGCAGGAGCTGCAGGGAGAGAGAGGATGAGGAGCCTCTTATGTACTTCTCTAACACCCCCAGGAGCCTGGACTGATTAACACCAATTTCTCAGGGAACTTCCTGCTGCTTCCCGGAACCCACTTGAGGAGAACAGGCAGTCAACTGAAGTACTAGGAGCCAGTTAGGCTACTAAAACGCTGCTATCTACCCACACTCAGGCCCCGTTACCAGCCTGCTTATTTGTCTTCTTCAATTGAGTATTGAGAACCACTATAGCTGGCACAGAACAGCAGTCATGAGTGACAGAAGAAAACGCCCCTCTGGGGCAGCATTCAGAAAAAGAAAGAAAGCAAAGGAAGCTTTTCGATCTAAGGAAGAAGCTCTCCTGTGATACATAGACACAAATGTTCACGGTGAGCCTTCCAGCCCCAGTGAGGATGTGAGTGGTGAGGCAATGCCTGATCTTCCACTTAGAGTGCAGGTGACCTGGCAGCTACTGCAACATCCATAGCCCCATCTCAAATGGATATAACAATGCACATTCCTGAAGAAAAGTGTAGATCAGAGAAGAGTATGGTAGAGGCGCAAGAAACAGCTGCTGCTGAGTTTAGTTCCTTAAGTCTAGATGATCCAGGACTGTGGAACCACTTGAGCAGTAGCCTGAGGGGCTTCCTTGTACTGCATGGGCCACAGCAAGTGAAAAACTTCATGTTGCCCAAAGACAATGAAAATAGAAGTTTCCATCCAACACATTACTGATGTGAAATCCCCAATGGTGACAAAGTGGAGAGGTCATGGCTTATGTACTCAAAAACCCAGAATGCTGCATACTGTTTTTGTTGCAAACTCTTCCAGTCTAATGTTCCAGCCACATGGGGTTCTACAGGAACAAAGGCCTGGAAAAATCTGGTTAGAAATCTGGCATGCCATGAGAAGGCAGCAAATCACCAGAGAGCATTCCATAGGTGGAAAGAGCTTGAGATGAGACTAAGGTTAAAGGCCACCATAGATGATCAGCATCAAGAGAAGATTGCATCCAAATCTCTTTACTGGCAAAATGTTCTGAAAAGGCTCATTGCCATTGTGAGAATGCTTGCTACCCAAAACCTAGCACTGCATGGCACTTCAGATCAACTGTATGTGCCAAACAATGGAAACTTCCTTAAAATTGTGGAGCTGATGGCTGAGTTTGATGTTGTACTCCAGGAGCATCTAAGAAGAGTCACCACCCAAGAAATGTATACACACCACTACCTTGGAAAAACAATTCAAAATGAGATCATACAGTTACTGACAACAAAAGTCAAACAGACGATTGTGGCAGATCTGAAGTCAGCAAGATATTACTCTTTTATTCTGGACTGCACACTTGACATCAGCCATATGGAACAAATGACTTTAATAGTGCGTTTTGTAACAACTACAGAACCTAGTGAAAATGTTCCTGCAATGGTGACTGTCAGAGAGCATTTTCTAGAATTTATTGACACTGATGATACTACAGGAGCTGGTATGACAAATGTGCTTCTTAAAAAGCTGGAAGATACGGGAATTGTGATAGCTGACATGAGAGGAAAGAACAGAGGAGTGCAGACACGGATCCCAGAGTTAAACACTTGAGCTTTTTTTGTCCCATGCAGTTCTCATTCATTGAACTTGGTGGTCAGTGATGCAGCATCAACTTCTAGTGAGGCTGCTGAATTTTTTTATGTAATTCAAAGCATCTGTGTATTTTTCTCTGCATCAACTCATCAATGGCAAATTTTAAAGCAACATCTGGGAACATCCTCTCTGACACTGAAACCACTGAGTGCCACACGATGGGAAAGTCGAGGGGAGGTGATAAAGCCTATCAAACACCAAATTGGGGAGATAGATGATGCCATAGTTGTCATTATGGAGGATAATGCTATGACAGGAACTGTTCATGGGAGAACAGTGGCAGAGGGAAATGGAATCACCAGAAATATACATAGCTTCAAATTTCTGTGTGGCTTAGTGTTGTGGCATGATATACTGTTTGAAATAAATGTTGTAAGCAAGAGAATCCAAGGTGTTGACCTTGATATATCTGGAGCAATGGAACAACTGGACAAAGCAAAGTCATACCTACAGTCTTACCGGTTAGATGAGGGATTTCAAAATATTCTGAAGAGTGCACAGAAGTTGGCAGAGGAACTTCACACTGAAGCTATTTTCCTACTCATTCAAGAATACAAGAGTCACCAAAGAAGACATGTTGATTATGAGGCACGGAATAATCCCATAAGAGACCCCAAACAACAATTCAAAGTTGAATTTTTTAACCAGGTGCTAGACTGTGCAATACAATCAGCTGAAGAATGTTTCATGCAGCTCAAGGAACACAGCAGTATATTTGGGATGTTGTATGATATTCCAAAACTCCTCACTATACCTGAAGAAGACCTACACCAGCAATGTAGGGTACTAGAGACAGTGTTGACATATGATGACATGCACTATATTGATGCGAGAAATTTAGATGATGAACTGAAAGCCCTTTCAAGATACATTTCAGCAGGATCAACTTCAAAGGCTGTTCTGGAATATATGTGCACAAATAAGCTGACCACCTTCTTTCCAAATGCTTTTGTTGCTCTGTGCATACTTCTAACACTTCCTGTAACAGTTGCCAGTGGAGAACGCAGCTTCTCCAAGCTGAAGTTAATAAAAACACATCCACGCTCCACATTGACACAGGAGAGGCTGGTCGGCCTTGCAACCATCTCAATAGAGCATGAGTTGGCCCAGACTGTGGACCTTCAGGAAGCAGTTCAAATCTTTGCCACCAAGAAGGCACGGGAAGCACCACTTTGATTATTCAAACAGATAAAAATGCCAGTGTTTACTATGCAGACAAGAAAAGTCACATTTGCTGTTCAGGCGTTTGAAAGTTAAGTGTTACTTAAAATTTTTGAACAAGGCATTTTAAGTTGTTAGTTCTCCTTTATTGGGGTAGGTAGCAGAGCAGTAGTATGAGAGGAGTAGAACAGGAAGAAGCAGAATTGAGACCTTTCAAAGTTTTGGCTCAAGCAAGGGAGGATGGGGGCATCATTTGAGCTCCTCAGGTGCCAAAATGTTGTGGGCTGGCCCTGGTTTGGGTATCCTACCATTTGGCAATCCTCCCAACTCCCATTAAAATGGAAGAGGATGCTCAACTCACAGGACATACAACTTGCAAGTTTCAGTCTTTCTGCACAATGAGTCACGAGAACAGCATTAGAAGCTTTTATAGTGCATCTTTGAGTATCTATGCCCCGATGAAGGAGGTTACAACATTGGGACTGCAGATGAGCAAACATTGGGACATTATTTTCAAAAAATGTGGATTCTGGAGAGACCACTCTGAGTAATAGCATATGCCCAGAAGCTGCATGTGAAGCTTTTTCTCACTGTAGCAGATGTAATTTCAGTCATCAGAGAGGCTAATCATTAGCATTACCACTCTATTATGGCCTAAACCTTAGTTCAAACTTTCAGCTAGTTTTATATGGAGATCCAAATGTAAAGTTTAATGCTGGAGTATCAAGGAAGAACTTTGAAATCTTAACATCTTTGCATTTTTTTTACCCTCCATAAAGGCAATCAGCATTTTTCCTCAAAGACTAATCTACATTTCTTCATACTGCATTGATATTAGGTTCATGAGCACTTCATTGATTTCTAATTTGCCCTTCCAAGAATAGTTTTAAATGTCAAAGTACTAGCAAATGAGATTTAGGGAACTGATAAGCTTCAGAGAAGGAATCTGTTGTTAAGTCCTCATTAGCTAACAACTCCTGAAAAATATTGACAAACGAAGATACAGAGCTTTTATGTCTCAACCCAACCTAATAAGCCACACATTCTTTTGCAGAAAGGTAATATACTGAAGTAGTGAATAAATATAAAGGCCATTTGCAATAGTTTACTTTATATACAAATGCAGATTCCAAATTTTTACATTTTATAACTATCTTCTGTCACTCCTTTGTTAACAATATTGTTCCACCAAGTGACAAATATGCTTATTTAGATGCTTTGGAAGTTGTCTTTTCACTGTAATTGTCATTTGGCACAAAGCCGTACAAACTACAATGATGGATATCCTTGAAAGACTGAAAGGTGTGTTTGTGAATGAAGCTAGTGAGATGAATTGTAAAAAGCCCTAAGGTTCAATAGCCATCTTGCATTCCATTAAGATATAACATGCATGTCATTCACATTACAAATTTAGTATTTGAAAATATATGCTTGAAAAACATGATAAAAATACTGTTTGAATGTTCCTTTATGTGTCTTATTACTTACCTCAAGTTTTAAGATGAATCCTATTTACAGCTATTTGAATAAAAGCATACTGAAAAACTGTGTCTCAACAGTAGAGCAAGTTGCATTGTCTCTGGTGCCCTGTGCATATCTGCAGATGGGCATACCTGTATCGTCCTATAAGACACGTAGCTATGCTACTGACTAGTATATACCCACATGTTAAAGTGACATCCTGTATATATTTTCCTGTCATCCATGGAAGTTTTAGTCACTGTAGGGTGACCAGACAGCAAATGTGAAAAATCGGGACGAGGTGGGGGGTAATAGGCGCCTGTCATAACTATAAAGGGAAGGGTAATAGCTGTCCTGTGTACAGTACTATAAATC